TCGCGAAACCCGCCATTTGAACACCGGTGCTGCATCAGTGGTATCTCAGAGAGAAGAGAGCGACGCCCGAATACTGCCTCTGCTAATAAAGCTTTCGTGGCCAGCATTCCATCATCTTGCCATGGACCCCCAATGATCTCGTCAAGTTCAATATTATTTGACGAGCCGTTGAAGAATTCGGGGATAGATGAAATAGCCAACAGAGCATCAACGCAAAGCGTTGCTCGTAGTTGTCGAGCCTTTCGATCTAGATGGCCAGCGGCGGAGCAACTCTTCAATAGGTGGCCAATACGGGATTCGAGAACCTGCGCCATCCCAGGACCCTTTGACAGGAACACTCGCCATGCAATGCACCCATCGTGTGTGCTAAGAAGTCCCGGAATGCTATGTACTAATTCTTGCATTTCACGGTCGTCGGTTGTCCTATCGTAAACCCAGGCAACTGCCTGTGTTTTGTTATGAAGAGGGACATCGAAGGGAGGTGATGCTAGTCCTTCACGAGCCTCCGACAAGCTTTTGGGATCAGGCTTCACCGAACCAATTTCGACGCTCGAGCGTCGTTGCAGGATGTGCCAAAGGAGAGATGAGAAAGGCGTTTCATAAGGAGTGGTGGGGTCGAGAAGAGGTGCGATAGTGGCTACGCCATAAAACGTTAAGAAGCAGAAGACAACAGCTATGACGGCTAATGCTGTAGCCATACTAATTTTCCATAAGAACGTGCATAGGCCAGCAAAAAAAAGAAATAGAGAGAGGTGCAGAAGCGTTGGAATGACCTCGACTACGTCGTTCATTTTCCACTTTACACTCCCAGCGAACAAGATACCTCGAATGGTGGCACGTTTTTGAGGTTGGTTCGTTTGTTGTATCCTTTGTAAATAATCTCGGATCCATTGTTGAACCAATGTGACGCACAACGCAGCTGCAAGACTGCACGTAAGGCTAAGAAACCACAGGACGTTGATGAGGATTGCTGAGGCTGATGGCTCTGATGTCGTTGTGGGAAGGGTGGTTGGCAGTTGGACAGCCGACGTGTTGAGAGATGCAGCAACTATCTGCAAAGCCAGTATCTGTGTAAGCAATTCTTCTGTGCCGACACCAGAATCTGTTTCCAGAAGTTTATAGCTATCTATGATGAAGGCCGTAACCGTCGCAGAGAAAAGCCCTGCCTGTAATTCCGAGACCAATTTAACGTTTGACACGAGATGTAAGCAAATCGTGCTCACAAAAATTAGGGTACTGTCCATATTAGCCTTCCATGTTTCCGTGATATTTGTATCGTACTGCTCTGCTTCGGTCACATAGATAGACCAAAATTTCTGAGCTCGTTCATCATAATCGCGATCTTTGAGAACATAGGCATGTCAGTCTGTTTCACGTAGAAATCGCTGTGACCGACGAACCTGACATCGTCATTGGTAATATATTGTACCAGGATACTTAATGGTACCTTGCAATACCAAGGTCAGTTGTATGTTGAAGTGTCCAAAAGCAACTGCAGGGGGGACATTGTAAAAGGTTGAAAGTGAATCGTCCACAAGGCAGTCAGTCCCGTCTCCAACGTGTTGTGCGCATTTCACTTAATGTACGATGCTAATGAAGGCGCCTAAGTTAAAGGGTGGCAGTCGCGTGATCATGATAGAATGTTCTCGAGTGGCTGTGCTGTCACATTGTCCTCAGCTTTCCTCTTTTCTTTACAAATCGATAAAGGCGTTTCCTTGATCTTCAAGAACAAAGAGTTCTCTCCGCAGACCGCACATAAGATTTGTAAGTCCTTCTAGTCGACTTATTATGACCATTTGCGTCAGTAACGCGCTTAGGGTGATAGTATCGCTTCTAATGACCTGCTAAGGCTTTGTATGTCATGCATATGCAGCATGCTGTTGGCGGTATAAATGCTCTCAATGCATCAATTTGTGCCATAATTCTGGGTTATATTGAGGGTTTCATTTATCTTCCTTGGACGCTGACTAAGGACGGAAAGTCTTGATTCAACTTTCCTATAATCCTCTGGTCGATGCTTGACGTCTCCGGATAAGTTCTTCCATCCATAATGGGATTCGTGGAGAATGAACGCCTTTCTCTTTGTCGATTTTGGTATCATGCTGGGCTAGCTGGGCTGTGCGTCGGATAAGCTACTAGGCGCCTGTTACTTCGTTTCTAGCGTCCATGAGGCAAATCAATTGAAAGGCCTGTTGCATGGCACCTGCCTCATGCACAAAGCATGGATATAAACGAGGCTTTTGGCTGCTTCCCCAGAAAGAACGTGCTTCTACCCCGCCAATTAGTCCATCCGTCGACATTCTGATTGCATAGGTTGCCGCCTTCGTCGACTCACTACGACCATGCGAGGAGTATTATCCTCTTTCAGAGCCTCAAAGTGGATGAAAGAAGTTAGAAAGGAAGATGTCTTGATGCATGATCCTAGGCCAACCGATCTTGTTGTAGTGTTCGTCCTTTTCTTCATCCTTGATAAAAATTTTCACATATCTTCATTCATCAGAGTTATGGGAGCCACGGGGTCTGGAAAAAGCACTGTATAGTTCCTCTCCAAATTCCAAGATTTTTGGTCACATAAACTATGTGTTTAGTTTATCAACACACTCTTCGGCCAAGACAACGTGGCATCTGTGAGCCATGGCCTAAGATCGCATACCTCAGTTGTTCAAGCTTATCACTTGGTCGATCCCGAATTTCCTGAGAATCGCATCATTATCGTCGACACCCCAGGATTTGACGACACTTTTCTCAGTGATCGAGAAATCCTCAGTCGAATTGGTGTCTGGCTTGCACACTCGTGAGTTGTCCGAAGTCCTGTACTCATCCATATGAAGATTCTCTACATTTTAGGTATCAAAACAAAATGAAGCTCGCAGGAATCATTTATCTGTACGATATCAGCCATACGAGGTGGGAAGGTTCCATGCGACGGAATTTCGAAGTCTTCGAAAAGCTGTGCGGTGCCCTCGCAAGCAGAAAAGTTGTCATGGTAACGACGATGTGGGATAAGGTGTCACGCGAAGAGGGAGAACGAAGGGAGAACGAACTCAGAGACGAGTATTGGCGAAAAATGTTGGACGATGGTTCGGTGATACATAGGGCAGGTGGTTTGAAAAACCAAATGTGGGCACAAGACACCGTCGACTATCTCCTCGCGAAAGAAGCCTACTATCCGCTTCAAATTCAGCGAGAGCTGGTCGAGGTCAATAAGGCCCTTCAAGAGACTGAGGCTGGTAGTCACTTGGCCTTCCTGCTGGCAGACTCTTTGAAATTATATAGGGCCAAAGTGACGAGGCTGAAATCTTTGAGCTCCCTGGATGTAGGTTCTGACCCAGAACTGGTGAAGGAGATGCTCGAGACGAATGACAAGATTCTGGATATCTTGCGACAGATCGATGGTCTCAAGGTTCCTCTTAGTCGGAAATTTCAGTTACTTTTCAGACGCTAGGTACGTCTTCAGCTCTGAACAATAATAGTTGCGTACTCATCCAATCATCCTTGCCTTTTCTAGTGTCTCCTGCATGCGCGAGTTTCTGTGTATCAGCGGCTCATGGGCAATATGTCGTGATCACGGATGATCACGGCAGACACCTTTGCACTGCAATGTGTTGTATGGATGGTCAATGAAATTAGGGTTGAATCCGAAACCATGACCTTGATTGGTACATTAATCCTCACATTCTATATCAGCAGTAGATGTTGTCTGATATCAAGTTGAACTTGAAGACCGCTGATGAATGCTGTAGCCTCTTTGGGACATTGTTGAGCAGTTGCTCACACTGCGAGACGAAGCTCCCCTACTCCTCGTGTAACGCACGAGGTATACGTCTACTATATTATACTTAATAGTCCAAGTATTCTCCATAGTTGGTCATCCTGTAAACGCATTCCACTTCAGTCCAACCTCCAACAAACCGCTTTCTCAAGTTTCAAATGGGAGTCTGTCTTTCAATGAGCGAAAAGCCGGAAGGGGTGTGGAAAGCGGATATCATGGCAGACGACGTCAACCAATTTTTGACCGATCCCAAAAAGACAGACCTTGTCATCGCGTATGTGTGGCATCATCCTGCTTTTAAATACAATTAACAATTACAACCTTTTGTATTTCTGGGATAGAGTCATGGGAGCAACTGGGTCGGGAAAAAGCACGGTAGTATACTTTCAATACTGGGTTGTGGCTCCACTAATACTTGAACCCAGTTCATCAATTCCCTTTTTGGCAAAACAGTGGCGATGCCTGGTCACAGCCTAAAATCGCAAACAACTCATGTAAAAGCCTATCCGTTACCGAGCAAAGGGCTTTCAGAGCCTCGTATTGTCGTGGTTGACACACCAGGCTTCGACGACACTCTTGTCAGCGACCGTGAAATTCTGAGACGTATAGCTGTCTGGTTAGCCATGTCGTAAGCCTCAGTCGCATAGTATCCTGCAAGCTCACGGAGACACTTTTTTAGATACGAGGCCAATATGAAGCTCGCCGGGATTATATACCTCTACGATATTAGCCACAACAGATGGGAGGCATCGTCAGGAAGAAACCTGCATCTCTTCGAGAAGTTATGTGGACAAGCAGCAGCCAAAAAGGTTGTTTTTGCCACCACGATGTGGGATAAGGTCACTCAGGAGAAAGCCGTAAGGCGCGAACAGCAGCTTCAGGGAGACATGTGGAGAGAGATGATTGAGCGTGGATCCACCATGCACCGAGTCGAAACTTCAGATGCAGCTCGAGCTATCATCGATTTCCTTGTCGAGAAGAATGATTGTCATCCAATCAAGATACAACGCGAGATGGTCGACGGAAATAAACTTGTAGCAGAAACTAGAGCAGGGCGCGTGATGGGTGAAAGTGGCGGAGACAGTGGTCTGTGAGAGAATCGAGCATGTCCAGCCCAGTGTACCTCGAAATGGATGGAAAGTGACCGGAGTACTTCATACATACCCGTCGTACAAATTAATGAATATAGTACAGCAGAAGATCAAAAAGTTCAATTTCTCAGAATCTTAGCCCACCGCGAGGGTCGAACTCGCAGCCTTCAGATGTGCTCTGCCTATTCAGTAAGAGTCTGACGCTCTATCCGATTGAGCTAGGCGGGCACATCAATGAAGGCCACAGCTCGTCTCAACCTTGAGGTTCACCGAGCTAATTACGCCACTACATTCGCGGAGCTAATGAGTGCCTCTGCCTCCTTCGACCGAGGAACAATCGAGCAAAAAAAAGGTAGATGATGGCTGTTGACATCGTTAATAACTCAAAGATGACGTGTAAATGGCAGACGCTTACGCTATTGCGGACGAATGATATTCCCCGGAGGGCTCTATAGTACGCCCATCATTGTCCTTGGCCTTGGAAATAGTGAAAGTCGCTAGGATAGATGCTGCAGCGATCCACACTGAAGAGGAACCTAGATGGCGACCTGGGCAAACTCTTTTGGGAAAAATGTGAGTTAGGAAACCGATAAATATCAACTGAGCTGATCACCGCCGCCCAAAGCCAAAGACCACGGTGGAATCACGGACAGAAGGATCAATTTTGCCGTCTTTCATGAATCGATCCGGATTGAAAGTTTCAGGGTCCGGATAGGTAGTTCTGTTAAGGATGAGCGAGTGCAAGCACAATGCATACTGAATAGGCATGGGCTCACTCATCATGAAGCATTGCCCTAATCCAGAATTCAAACGTGAATGGCGATAGTGAGATAGGCAGAAATAGCCTCACCAAACATTTGCGACGACGGTTGAATCTGCGGGGATTCGGTAACCGTTGTAGACATCATCTTCCGTCGCGTAATGCGAAAGGCCTGCGCAAAGTTTACACGTTAATCTGCGGCTCATGATGTAGGTTTATAAATATAATCCTACCAAGTGGTCCTACGGGGTGCCATCTATAAAATAGAATGAAGCATTAAAGACTTTAATGTTCGATCCACACGCAAGACATATACCTGAAAACCTCTTTGACGATGGACCAGATATAGGGCAATGCTGGTACATCATTGAAGTCGGGTAGGCGCCCAAGCAAAACTCTGTCCAATTCCTCCTGAGCTTTCCGTTGTACTTCGGGATAACAGACCATAGCCAGGATAAACGTATTTAGCGACGCAAGTGTCGTATCTGTGCCACCTGAGAAGGAGTGAATATAAACTCCTCGTAATCCAAAAAGATTAGATTGCCTTCGTAAAGAGCCCCAGCAGTCTCTTGAATGATACGAAGTTGATCTTGACTCGGGGCATTGGGATCCATTGTATAGAGGCAATTAGATACAAATGAAGGCGCGACAGCTTTGTTTTGGGCCTGCGACACAATGAGGAGCAAACTAGAAAACGCAAAGAAAACGTACTATATCCCGTTGAACGGCATTGAAAGGATCCTCAACCATTCTGATAGGATAATCACGGTATTCCTTCGCCATTCTCTTGAAAGTAAAGCCCGGCGCCCAAGAAGGCACATATTTCAAGAGAGGGATGAACTCGACGAGATACCTTCCTGGGAAGACCACATCCGCCAGGCTCTTCAGAGCCAGTTCGGCGGTCGTAAGATATGGATCATTTTCTTCCTGAACTTCGATTCCATACGTAACAGACATGATGGTAGCACCCGTAAGACTTGTAGAAGAACGATGAACACGAATATCATTCATTGACGTCACCGTAGTACGTACTGTCGCATGTGTTTCATGAAGCCGTCGGGTTGATCTAGAAAACGCTGGAGCATGCGTCTAGTAAGCTTCAGAACGTGTGGCTGATATCGTTCGACTGCGTTAGGGTGGAATTCTAAAAGAAAACCTTGATGAGGGTGTATATTTGTCTTTTGCGATATAAAGAGTGACCTCGATGAAATAGACGTCTACGAGCTTTCCAACGTTCGCCGTAAGGCATCAAAACAAACAACCAATCCCATTGCATCCTGAGGGTGAAAATAAGCGTCAGATCTTCTTCAGAACCTTAAGATAGTACTTAACAGTTCATTGGCCATAATGTATCTTGGCCTTGGACGAGATCGATTAGCTACTGATGGAAGAAGAGACAGATACTTGGTTTTCACCTGCTTGAATAGTTTGCCGACTTGTGCTCAAGAAGTTCGTTTGCAGCTTTAACGGAATTGAGAATAATCATTTTGTTTCCCAAAACGTCAAGATGTATAACGTCTGAGCCTATGAAAGGAAGTTAGACAAGAGTCAGGTCTCTAAACCAACTGGACGATACACACCTAACTCCTTTGACAAATCTCTGTATGCAATCCAATCGCATGAAGTTGGCAACTGAAGAAGGTTCCCAATGATAGGGAGTCCTTTCGGACCAGGGGGAAGCGGAAATCTCGCCAAAGCATTCGCCGATCGCACGAGGAATGCAAATGTTCCAATGCAGAGCACTAAGAATGCTATAATCGCATGGAACATGGATAAATTGTCGAACGATGGGAGAGACATTGGGGGTGGTTTAGTGACATGAGTGGAAACGCTCTTGCTGCTTTTAAAGCCTCGCCTCTCGATGTAGCTCCAAGGTGACGTGGTCATGCGTTCGAAAGGAACGGGTGTTTGGTGTAAGCTTCTGTCAGCTGATACCACGGGGGACGCCAAGTAAGAATACTCAGGCTTATTCTTCGATAAGAAAGTTTCTTATTCGACGTGACAAGCCGCAGTGACCGTGTGCCCCAGGAATTTTGAGAACAACCGTGTTCAAATAGAGCAAAGGCAGGGAGTAAAAATGTCTCAAATGGTATTAAAAGGTACTTCCCAGTGGGCAGTGTGCAGTGTTCACATTCCGTTGGGCCTTAGCGCTTTAGTAGTAGAAGTTCAAGTCTGCATTTTGCTCCTCGGATAGTAGACCAAGAACGAGGGACCGGCGATTGTGGGATTGTGGTAATTTCGTTCCTCAATATTCGATTGTGAGGGCAGCTGGTCGACAGGGTTCATATGGCATGAGATAAGTGCGTGTTCAACTTGAAGAAATAATGTGACACGGATTCACGCGTCGTGTGACGAACAACGTACATATCTGTAGTTGTGACATCCCTAAATCTCGTTTCTCGTCCACTTTCAGCTTTTCAGCAATCTCCCATACAAAATGAGCGTTTTACGACCTTTCAGAGCCACGGATATGTTCAAGTTCAACAACATGTGAGTAAAAAAAATTCTATACTTATAGTTGACCTTGAATTTTAACAACCCTTCGTTCAGTAACTTGGACATCTGGACGGAGACTGTACGCCAAACATACCATAGAATCAGCTCAGAAGCTAATGAAATTTTTACTTTCTAGTATGGAATTGGCTTCTATCTTCACTACTTATCTCGATGGCCCGACCTCTGCTGTGTTCAAGAAGCCCCCACTGGGCGTATGATGGGCTATGGTGTGTTTCCTACCATTTTCCAGTGGCAAAGATTTAAATATTTTCACGTTTCCATAGTTCTTGGAAAAGCTGAAGGCAGCAGAGAAGAATGGCATGGCCATGTCACTGCAATTACTGTTGCCCCAGAATACCGACGACTAGGTCTTGCGCGTAAAATGATGAACCTCCTCGAGCTAGTATCGGACGAGATCTACAGGGGCTTCTTCGTCGACTTATATGTGCGGTGTGCGAACTCTGTGGCGATAGATATGTACGAAGGCATGGGGTATAGCGTATATCGGCGGGTGCGGGAGTACTATGGGAATATAGGATTTGGAAAGAACAGCAAAGATGAAGAGGATGCCTTCGGTGAGCTTAACAGGTCTTGTTTTGGTATTTTTCTGATCTATATTCCTTAAGACATGCGAAAACCACTCTCCCGAGATCCTAAGCGTCTGTCTGTCCGCGACAACGGACGGGATGTACACGTTAGGGCCAATGAAGTGTCCTAGTCCACAAGACCTAAAAATCATTAATACCCTAATAATATCCTACTAATACATTGTAAAACCAATTACAACAATGGAAACACCTCAATTCACAGCGAAAGCTGAGGCGGCGAATCGTCCGACGGCTGGTACTGCATCAAGATCGCAATTTCCTCTTCGTAGAAGTCCTCCAAGGCTTGTGCGTCCGATAAGAAATTGTGCAGCTCGATTCTTATCTCCTCTGCAATTGCAGCCCTCGACTCTTTTTTAGCCATCCTTCCGGGGCCCATCAAGCGATTCGTCAAGAACACGAAACCCTGCGAACCACCGAGCATCTGTATAAAGCCCATCCCGGATTTGTGCACGAACTGGGAATACTTGTAGGGCGAACGGCGGTATGAATACACCACGTCGATTTGCTCTGGGTATAACGAGGCAGCCTCAACATCCAGGATCCACCCGAACTTCTTGAGCAACGCGTACTCGAAGTAGTGTGTCGTCTGCGTTCCCTCGGGAACGCGTTTTTCGATGTCCATTACGATGGGTGGTGGAACAGCAAAACGCATGGGGTAGCAGGATTGGAAGGCGTTGCGCTCGCGAATATCGCTGATTTGCGTCACGTAAGCTTCCACGAGCTTCAATCCATACCGGTCCACCATGCGACTCCACTGGCGGATGAGATCTTCGATGCAGCGAGCAGTAGTTCCAATCCACTGCAGCTCAAAGTGAAAGACTGTTCCTGGATTGTGGATAATGTCGTGGTGGAGGATGACTGACTCTGCCTGATCACTTTTCTGAAAGTCGACTCAGCAACAAGTTATCGAAGAATCTGAGGAGAAATACCTTATTAGGGTCGATATCAATAACCATACTCTGGCTCAGTATGATACGTTTCTTGTGCCTGGCTCGAGGGCCAGTGTTAGGCGGACGGGTGCTCGAAGGGTAATAAGTTGCTCGTGGGTAATCGTCAGCAGTGTACCGTCTGAACCATCCCTTGGAGGCGACAGCCACGACGCTATATTCGCCCTTTAAGCGATAAAAGTAATGCCTTAAGAAATTAAGTTAGAAATGACAGGTCGTACAAGTAAAGAAGACACGCACCCATCTAAGAAGCCATGAAGTTTACGACAATGCTCAAATAATCCCTGCTCTAAAAACTTGACCCCAAATTCCGTAGCTTGTGCCCTAGACGAAACGTCCCTGAACTCCCTCACAAGCCACGACACCATGTCATATCCCGTGAAGGAACTGGGATAATAAGAGCGATGCCAGTGGTAA